GGAGTAAAATGTATACATGATGCAGGCATTATTCACTGGGATTTAGTAAGAAAGCTTATATATTTTATCATAGTATTAAATTAGATTTCATAAACACTAATCTAAACCATTTTTAATACAAAAGAATCATAATAATATTCTCGTTCATAAGGGAAAAATCAAAATTTCAGACTTAGGCTATTCAAAACTTTCAAATGATCAGTTTACCTCAAAATCCGGTTTAGGTGTGATAAGTTACATTGATCCAGCATTTCTAAGAGATATGAAAAATTTCAGACGTAATAAGAAATCAGATATTTTTAGCATTGGAGTATTATTTTGGGTTATCTCTAGCGGTCGTCCTCCTTTTAACCAATATGGGTATGTTTTTTCTTCTTCGTCAGAAAAAGAAGAAAGAATTGATGGAACTCCAGATAAATACGTTAGCCTTTATCAAGCATGCTGGGATGATGTATCAACAAATCGCCCAAATATTGACGAAGTAAACAAACAACTTGAAGAAATAAAATGGACAGCTGCACCGCTTCCTTTAGCACCGGAAGAATCAGATATTAGTTATTTTTCAAATGATGAAAACGATTCAGAAGAATTAGATATTATTGACTTATCAGAAGATGAAAGCGAGCCAGAATTGAAAATTTCAGAATTAGAAATTTCAAATGATGAACAGGATTTCAAAATTATTGACGAATTAGCAACTTTATTAAATAATTCACTCGCCAAAGGTAAAACTTTGGATAAAATAAGCGCCGAATTACAATTGTATTATGACACACACAGTCAGAATTCTCTCGAGATCTATAATTATTTGGAAACCAATATTCGATATAAGTTACTCTTAGGGTTTCTTTCTCAAGCTGGAGTCATAGTTGAAAGAATGTTGAACTAGCATTTAGCAATTATGTGGAGTTGTCAAATAATAACAACCCTTCAGCTCAATATTTTCTAGGATATGCCTATCGAAATGGAATCGGAACACAAAAGGATGAGAGAAAAGCATTTGAATGGTACTTGAAATCAGCAGAGGGTGGAAATGCTAAAGGACAAAATAATCTTGGTTGGTGTTACAATGAAGGATTCGGAACACAAAAAGATGAGAAAAAAGCATTTGGGTGGTTCTTGAAATCAGCAGAGGGTGGAGATGCTGGGGGACAATATAGTCTTGGGTGGTGTTATCGAAATGGAATCGGAACACAAAAAGATGAGAAAAGAGCATTTGAGTGGTTCTTGAAATCAGCAGAGGGTGGAAATGCTAGAGGACAATGTAATCTTGGTTGGTATTATCTAAATGGAATCGGAACACAAATAAATGAGAAAAAAGCATTTGAATGGTACTTGAAAGCAGAGGGTGGAGATACTAATGTACAATGTCTTCTTGGTTTGTGTTATGAAAGTGGAATCGGAACACAAAAATATGAGAAAAAAGCATTTAAGTGGTACTTGAAGTCAGCAGATGGCGGCAATGCTAGAGGACAATGTAATCTTGGTTGGTGTTATGCTAAAGGAATTGGAACACAAAAAAATGAGAAAAAAGCATTTGAATGGTACTTGAAATCAGCAGAGGGTGGAAATGCAGTAGGACAATTTAATCTTGGGTGGTGTTATGAAAATGGAATTGGTATTTCTAAAGATATCAATAAGGCTAAATATTGGTATAAATTTGCAGCTGAAAATGGCAAAAAGAAAATTAAAAATATTATAAATTCTTTATAAACGGATTTTATTGATTTTTATTTTCTGTTGTTATTATTAAATTTGCATCTATAGAGCTTTAGATTATTTTGTTAATTCGCATAATGCATTTTTCACATTACTATGTAATGCTAGTTAGTATTCAAACAGATATTTTCTGTTTTTCTGTTTATTATTATTATTATTTTCTGTTTTCTGTTTATTTATTGTTATTATTAATACATGTATTTTGATGAATTCAATTTTTATATAAATAATATGATAGTTTAAAGAATTATTAAATTATATCAAAAAAATAAAAGAATCAGAAAAAATTTTAAATATAAAGTTTTATATAATTAAATTAAAATTTTAGAATAATAAAATTTAATTGAACATATTTAATATAAATTATATAAAATTTTCTGAAAATATATTTTTATCGATTAAAAATATTCTTTAATATCATGTAAAAATAATTAATTTTTTATTTTTTAATAAAATATTCATATAATTTGATATATTACAAGATTTAGTAAATAACTTACAATATGTTTATAAAAAATTATTAGACTTATAAAAAATTATTTTAATAATAAAAATAAACTTCTTAAATTTTAAAGTTGAATAAAATTAATAAATTTTTCAAGTATAATTAATATTTATTATAAAAATATAAAAAAAAGTATTTAAAATAAATTAAATAATTAATATTTTATATTTTTTAAATATAGTTATATCTCTTTATAAGAATATATTCAGAATATAAAAAAAATTTTTCATAAAAATTTATAATTATGTTCTTATAAAAAGAGAAATTTTATAATAATTTTGTTTTTAAAAGACTTTATTTTTATATTTGATATTCTTATAAAGAAATATAATCAAGACTTTTAAAAATAAAATAAAAATAATAAAATTACTATTCTTACATTTAATATTCTTATAAAGAATATAAATAAATCTTTTAAAAAAAGAAATTTATTAAAAAGAAATCATAAAAAAATTTTATATAAAAATTTTTATTAATTAAAAATGAAATTTAATTAATAAAAATTTTTGCATTAACTTTTTAATTAGAATAACTCTTTTAGAAAAAATCTAAAAAGTCTGAAAAAATATATATTAAACTACAACTGATAAACTTTATTTTAATATAAAAATAATAATTATTTCTTAATAAATTATAAAATTTAATATAAAGAGAAATTTTCAATTTTCACTATATTTTATTAATAAATTTGGCTTCTGAGTCATTACTTTTGGTCATCTCTATATATATATAATTTTCAAATAATTTATATTTATAAAATTAAATATATATATTTATTATTTTTCAGAATGTAAATAAAGAATCATATATTATTTTGCTATATATAAAAATTGATTTTTATATAGAATTTCTGATTATTACATTATATAACTGATTTTAAATAAATAAACTAATTAAAAAATTTATTATTTTAGACTTATAATAATTCATTATTTTCTAACTATAATAAATATACTTATTTAATATTTATTTAATTAATACTAATTAGAAAAAGTTTTATTTTGATAAATTTATAATAAATTCTATTTTTATTAAATAAACTTAATATATTCTTTATAAAAATTTATTTTAAAATTGCTTATTTAAAATATTTAAAGTTAACTTATATAAGCACACAATCCAGTAAATTTGATATGGAATTCTTTAAAATTTTATTAAATTAATATATCTTATACTATTAAAAAATCTTGCTTGTAATATTCTAAAGAATATATCTATAAATTTTTATAATTTTGAATGTTAAATTATTAAAATACTAATGAAAATGTCTATTATTATTACTTTTATCAGAAAATATATAATACAAAGAAGAGATATTCTAATATAATGAAGAAAATGATATTTCAATATTTGATATTTAGAATACACAAAAAATATTATTTTTTTATTTATTATATTTGAACAAATAGAATATTAATATTTTCATATAATTTAAATCGATAAATAGTTATCATCTTTTAAAATTGCTATATGTCAGTTTTGTTTATTTATGTTTAAACAAATCAAATTCTAATATTTTCTCAAAAATATCACTCTTAAATTTATTAAATTTAGACATGATAAATTAAATAATAATATTTTTATGCGATTTCAATTATCAGATATCAAAATTTCAATTTATTAATTTATATCACTATATAATATACAAAATAATCATTTGTTTCTTTTTTTAATATTAATTTTTTACTAAATTTACTAATAGATGAATTTGCTTTTTAGTTATAATAAATATATTGATTTTTGATTTATATATAATTTTATAAAATCATGAAAAAATATGCATTGCCAATTTTTTCTTCCCGCGCTGTATAATGAAAACCTTGGAAGGTTTGGTTTGAATCAGATAATTTCAGCATAAAATAAAACAAAGACTCAATTCAAATAAGGGGAGTGACATTTGTTACGTAATTTTTACCATGTACATGGGATCAGCTAGCAATTACGTTTCTAATTGATCAAAAAAACTAATTATAATAGGATCATGCCACTAAGTAAAAAATATTACGTAATAAATGGCTTATCCCTAATATTTCAGTTGGATATTCTAAACATCATGGACTTTGCTAAAAAATTGAGCTCATTAACTAAAAAAATTATGCCAATTTAGCAATTCATAAGTCTTATATATCATTTTATGGGATCAAAAAATTTTTTTGTCGAATTCTTAATAAAACTCATGTTGAAATTTGACTTTTGTAAACGCATTCAAACTCAAAGATTGTTATGTTAACTTTATAACATCTTTTATTAATTGAATCATGTTCCAGGAACAGAATAATCTCCCATCTCGACGAGTATCAATTTGCAAATCCTTCAAAGTACAGTACATGTCATGTAAATATATTGAGATTTCAATGTAGATTGTTTTTCGGGGATTTTCGGGGATACGGGAATCGTGTACATATAAAGTATTATGTTACATGTAGATGTAATTTGTGAAACATGAAATTCGGGTAGTTTATATAACAAATACATGTATTAGGCCGATACGGCAAATGAAAAAGTACATGTACGTAATGAAACGTACATTATCGTTGTATATGTATGAAACGAATCAAGGGAACAAATAAAAACTATTTAAGTATGAACAGATTCTCTTTACACGCTGTTGAAAAAAGTTGCTCTGTTTTTTCCTTTTTCCGACAAAATCTTTTTTCAATTCTCTTTTGACAAGAGCAATCATTTCGACCGCAATCTTCACTATTAGAAATATTCCAAAGGAGCATCATCTTTACCTTAATATACTACTGAACCCATACTAAATCTTCATAAAATTATGGTGGATTTCGAGAGTATTCTCGCTTGCGTCTTTACCATTTTATTTGACGTATTAATAATATTATTAGTTGTATTGTTAGTCAAATATTTCTATGAAACACTAGCGAGAAAATCTAGTAATACAACGAATGAAGAAGTGCCACAAGTTGAAGTTAAATTAAGTGAAAATGGCAGACCGATAAGCGAAATGACGATGGTTGATTTGGGGGAAGGAGAAGACGAAAGAAAGAAAAAGAAAAGTGAAAAGAAACGGAAAATTGAACATTTGGTCATCACAATTCCACCGTAGACAATATACTATATATATTACTAGCAATAGCTACCGCACCACTACCTAACAGCATGATTACTGTTATAAAAATTAGTTGTTCTTTGAGAAAAAATTTATATAAAAGCTTGCCGAGTTTTTATACTGCTCAATTAATAAATAGAAAGAGAACCAAGTAAAATTATTATGAAATGGCTGGAAAAAGTCTAATTATAAAAATAACTATAGAGAATCTTAATTATATAATAATTGCATTATATTAAAGTTTTCAAATATAAATTAATTTTTCTTCAAAAAATCACAATATTCTCAGATTAAAATATTAATATACACATGTATTCTGAATCAAGTTGAGATTTGAAACATTTCAGAATTATTATTATCTATTATTAGAATTATAAACCGATTTTATAAATGAATAATACCATCTCATTATAATCAATCTTGATATATAATATAATTACATTTTTTATTTGCTAATTAATTTTATATTGTTAAGAAATTAAGATAGAGAAACGAGATAATCTCAAACTTATGTTCATATGACTCTATAAATGAGCGAGGAAAAAGTCTCATATGAAAATATTTTATATAATTTTACTAATTTGGAATTGATATTTTTTTAAAGTGGTTTTATCTAATTACTATTCTATAAAAACTGATATTAAGATTGAAATAACTCAAATTAAGAGAGACTTATATATAGAATTTGAACAAAACACACAGTTTTATAACAAGAAAAATATTTATTATAATAGTGATAATTATTTAAACTATTATATCATTAGTTTCAAAGAAAAACTACAATAACCTATCTTTTTCATTCTAATTTGCTTTTCTTTGTTAATTTATATATTCTTATTTTAGATAATAAAAATAATATGCATTAATATTAATTAAAATAAAATGCTTATGATAAATAAAAATTATAAAATAAAGTAATCAAATTAAAGAAAGAAAATATAATACTGAAATTAATATAAGATAATTATCATTATATGAATTTTTATAAAAATAGAATTATAATAATAAAAAAATATAACATAGAATTTATGTAATTTAACATAGATTATGAAATTAAAATTCTGCAATAATACATTAAATAATTTGATTTAGTACGCTACTAATTATTTAATTAAAAATTACACTTTTTAACCACGTGAAGAAAGATAAATCAGTGATCAGTTACGTCACTGACTTTTAAACCAACATATATATATTCAAGGGATGCAAATTCTATAAATACATGCAGTGAAATTTTGTATTCCAATAAATAAAATTATATATTTATATTGCAAAAAGCAAATTCGAATAAGCTTTAAACTTTCTTGTGATTATTTTAATAATGAGTGGAAAAGTTTATGCGATGATAATGCGTATATTTTGAAATCAGCTGAATCTGAACGTATGGTAACGAAACCTTTTGTCATTCATCAATAAGAATTGCCAATTGATGGAAATCTATAACGAATATGATCATCATTTCTTTTCTAATGATAATAATAACGATAAGTTAAATATAAACAATCAGTATTACGATGAAACTACCTGAATCCTCTCAATATGTTATATTTGATGAAACCTTTTGAAGAAAATGTCTAGCGAATGAATTATATGGCAAATGATTTTTTGTAGCGGTGTACAATTAAAACTAGACTTGAATAAAATCAATATACGCATGCAGTTTGCCACAGATGTGTAATAACATAGACAAATCCCAATACATGTATTTTTTATTTACTTTTAAGCATACACTAGTCAAAATTTGTTAAATGTAAATATGACTCAGTTGACAAGGGTTAAATAATTTTCATTGAAGTTATGAGTGCCAAGCAAACTGCAAGAAAAATGTCATAATCCGGTGATAGTATAATGAATTGTCTCTTGCCAAGTACAAAAGAAGTAGCAAAAATAAAAATTTACCATGATCTGGAAGACCATAAGATCTTAACTATCAAAAAAGAAGTAAAAAAGATAATCTGAGCCATTCATGACATTAGCGATAAACAATCTGTGCAAAAACTTGCCTGAAGATTCTCTAAAATAATTCTATCCCTTTTCATAATATAATATATTTATTATTTTAGAAAACATGAAGTTTTAGCAAAATAACACTTGTTTTATACCGGAAAAAAGTTACAAAATTATTCAAATATAAAATATCAATAATTAACATGTTCTCAAGACTCTAATTTCATAAAAATATCTGCAGATTATTGAAGAATAATATTCAAAAGTGTATAAACTTCTCAAAGAAAATATGTTCAAAATTCAATATGTTAATTTATGAGAAGATTATAAGCTTAATTTCTCAAAAAATCAAAATAATATAAATGATATTTTAATTTGTAATAAAAAAAGATTCTAAATATTATATAGTTTATTTTAAACATAAATTATAAACTTATTAATCTAATATTATTTAATTATATAATATAAATTTACAAGAATTCTATGTTATTAATCATTATCGTAAACTACTAATCAAAGTATCCCTCTGACTAAAGTACCCTCTCCCTTTTTGGCGTTCTATTTTTGTAAAGTACCCAGATACTATGCATGGTATATGTATTAAAAATTTAAGCATGATTTATCAAGTACCCCGAGTACTAAATATAGTAGGTGGCTTAGAAATTTAAGCATAGTGCAACAGCTTGTAAAGCATTCCTATTATGATCATATCTAATTATTATTATTAGAGTAAAAAGAAAAAAGAATATAATGTTTGGCATTCTACATATATACAAAAAGCCTATTGATAATATAACAAAATATTAATATTTAATTTCTTTCTCATCACTAAAACTTTGATATGAATTTCCACTCGCATTACCCATCACACCACATGTATTATGCAATGAACCTTCACCTGCATTACCCGCTACATCATTCAATAAACCTTTATCTACACTAACAATTTGAGATAGACTTTCACTTATTTTGTTATTCTAATTATTTTGATATGTCTCATCCTCTAAATTATAATTTAAATCCATATTTGCTTCCTCTTCTTCCTCTTGAGTAATATTTACTGTTGTATAATCCTTAGTTATACTGCTTACCTGATCATAATCAAATAATAAATTGTTTTCTGAATCATCTGTTTCAGTTGAAACTTCACAACATTTAAATACTCGCATAATGAGATCAGAATCAATGGCATCTCATGCAGTTTTAACCCATTCTGTTAACTTGGCATAGGATAGTTTCTGGATTTGACCGGCTGTAGTAAGTTAATATATATCTTGTAATATCTAATTATTATATAACTCGTACATCTAAAAATAATAAATTAATATCATACATAATATTAACATAGTAAAAAAGAATAAACTTATCTTTACTTTGAAACACTTATTAATTGCAACATCTAAAGATTGCAATTTTGAGGTCAAACCTCCAGGAATTATGGCAATATTTGTGTTTTTCTCAATAAATCATCATTTTACACTATCTACTAGATGTCTTTTAAAGGAATCTAGAACAAGAAGAGATTGTAAATTTCCATAGAGATTTCTTTTAGTTCACATCTTTTCAATCTACCATAATATTTCTTCTTTATTCATCCATCCTTTTGCATTAGCTCAAACAAAAACCTCTTTAGGAAAGATTTCTCATGGAACTTTTTTCAATTTGAAAATGCACAAAGATGATAATTTTGTGCCATCTGCCATACAAGCTAAAACTACTGTAAAATTTCTTTTTTTATTACCAGTTATATGAATACTGACAGTTTTAGTTCCATATTGATCAATTGTTGTTGCAACTGGATGATCAAATATACATGGAGTTTTATCCATATTGCCAATGAATTTCAAAGGATAGTCATATTGAATTTGATGATAAAGAACAAAGCTTAAAAAGCTTTCTTATTTTTCAATTAAATCAGCAGAAAGATGCTGAGCAATAGTAGTTTGTTATCGAATAGATAAATTATGGTAAGTCATAAAAATATCAAGCCACTTTTCTGAAAATTTGAAATCTTGAATTCTAGGATAATGATTTTTCTATTCATTTGTTATTACAAGAGATATAGCTTTTCGGATTGCTACCTTTCTTTGAACTGCTTTTTCAGAATTACACATATCTTGAATCCAATCAGCCAAAAATGTTTCTAATTTTGGATATGCAGCAGGCTTTTCTTTATGAAATTTTAAAATATGAGATGCTACAGATCTTAATTCTTGTATCTTGTTTTTCCAGTCACATATTTGTTTGGGTTTAATATCAAACTTTTTTGGATACTTTTATAGTGTTGAAGATAATGAAGAACCATTAGCTTTTCTCTGGCATACCAAGATCGATATAATTTTTGAGTAGATCTTGCTCTTGCTCTTTTGCTTGGTTTATTTACATGAACTATTTTTTGATGAAAAAGTACCTTTTTTTATGTGTATGCAATTAAAAATTTGTGATCTACAAGTATTCCTAAAATATATAATACCTAAGTATAATACCTAAATATTATACATAGTTGTACTCCCCTTCTGACCAATGTACCCTCCTATATAAAGTACCCTACTAAATAGGGTGAAAATATTAAGTACCCCAGGGCTTTTGGTTAGCAGTTTACGGTATATTTGATAATTAACTTTAAATTTTTATTAAAAAATAAATCTGAAAGTAGTATTTATTAAGTATTTTAAAAAAATTTATATTATTTAATAAATAAAAAGAATTTATTTTGTATAAGAAATAATTAAAAATATTATTAAAAAATTAATTAAATATAATATATATTAATAAGATAGATAAATATTTTATTATAACTTGATATTTAATTATTATTATAGCAGATATTATATTTAATATTATTATTATAAATTTTTCAGATCTAACTTTTTCTTATTATTATTTTTTTATATTAAAATTTATTATTTGCAAAAAGTAAATATATAATTTCTTTTATTTATTATTATAATAAAAAATATATATATTATTTTAATAAAAAATATATATATTATTTTAATAAACTACTCTAATTATTAATATATAAAATAAAATTTTTAAACTTTATTTCATATTTAATATAATATTTATAATTTTATATTTAAAATTAAAGTTATTAATATATTATA